GTATTAAAAATTAAAAACTCAAATAAACACTTTCAAGTACAGCTACATCCACAAATTTGATCAATACAATTCTTTCGATTATTATCTTAACTTTTATTTGCCATTCATAAATTGCGCGGAATTCGATTTTTAAGAAATTTATTTGCCATAGGATTGCGATTAAAGCCCTGTTATTTGTTGGGCGTGTTGCCTACCCGTCAAGATGGCTTCCAAAACCGTGATAAGGTCTAGTGAGTTGTTAACGTGTGCAATGGCATCTGATCTCATCGTCAGTTTGTTATGCTATGCTATGCTATGCTATGCTTTGTTATTTTATCTTATTTCATTTTTATTTTATTTTATTTTAGTTTAAATCAGCATATTAGTTCAGTTTAGTTTAGCTTAGTTTAGTTTAGTTTAGTTTAGCTTAGCTTAGCTTAGTTTAGTTTAGCTTAGTTTAGTTTAGTTTAGTTTAGCTTAGCTTAGCTTAGCTTAGCTTAGCTTAGCTTAGTTTAGTTTAGTTTAGTTTGGTTTGGTTTGGTTTGGTTTAGTTTAGTTTAGTCTAGTCTAGTTTAGTTTAGTTTAGTTTAGTTTAGTTCAGTCTGGTTTAGTTTAGTTTAGTTTAGCTTAGCTTAGGTTAGCTTAGCTTAGCTTAGCTTAGTTTAGTTTAGTTTAGTTTAGTTTAGTTTGGTTTGGTTTGGTTTAGTTTAGTTTAGTTTAGTTTAGTTTGGTTTAGTTTAGTTTAGTTTAGTTTAGTTTAGTTTAGTTTAGTTTAGTCTGGTTTAGTTAAGTTTAGTTTAGTTTAGTTTAGTCTGGTTTATCTTAGTTGAGTTGAGTTGAGTTGAGTTGAGTTGAGTTGAGTTTAGTTTAGTTTAGCATATTAGTCTAGTTGCGTTGAGAAACTGAGTTGAGTTGAGTTGAGTTTAGAAATTGATTTGAGTTTAGCTTAGTTTAGTTTAATCTCAAGACTATAAACCCCCGGCGATTCGGACGTTGCAACTTAATACCTTTTTAGCCTCGTCCGTTTCGAAGCAGAACTTAAGGACGCCATTACGAAGATCAACAGCACCATCACTTATCATGTCGGCTGTCGCTTCATCAAAAGGGTCATCCGGACTCATCCCTGTAAAGTACAACAGATATAATCTTTTTACCGTTTGAGGACGCCCAMGTAAAAAGGACGGGGGYTGCTCYTCGGKAATTTTAAAGAGAACTCTCACGAGGTATACCAAGATCCTGTTTTGTGGGCGTGGCTTGAAATTTTTTCACCCTTAAGAGGAACCAATTCTAAAACAACCTATTAACTGACACATAATCTTTAATTAATAGCTTTTAAGACGACTGCTTCATTTTCTCTTGCTTTTACTCGTAAAGTTGATGATCAAGCTTATGAGGCTGAATACCATAAGAGATAGCAAAACCGCTTTTTTAACCGTTAAAAGGTACCACGAGCTCCCCCGTCCTTTTTTATGGGAGTCCCCCGGAACGTTTTATCTATTTCTCTATTTCATTCCAAAGACCTTGTCTTTGGACGGTGACTGAATTTTGACAACATTCAACGGTTCTCGCAATTCTCGTCATAAACAGGATGATTAGCTCGTTTATTACTAGCCGCTGTTCTACCGACCGAGCTTTTTCGGTCTCCTGGAACCGGGGGAACTCGAGGAGCTTTTGCGGCCCTTCCTCTCCCTGTAACTTCGTAAAGTATTAACATTACAGTTATGTCAATGAAACTTAGAGGGAGGGGGGAGATGATATAGAATGATTACGTCATATATTGTAGAAATGGGGTAATTATTAGCGAACAGCCGACTTGGAATCGCCTCTTTTCCATCTTGTCCCTTCTTGTTTTGTTATGACAACTTTGTCATTTTTCTACATTTCGATGTTTCCTTCATTTGGAGGTAATTTGGTACGTCGCCAAAAATGTTCAAAATATCATGATTTATATTATTGCCTTATAGCAAAGATATTAGTGACGTCACCTATTGTTACTGATATGCTAACCAGAGAACTATTGGCTGGTGAAACAAAGAGTTCTTTTGTTTAACGTTTTTAACTTTTAAATAACACAAAAAATGTTTGTAAACAAAATCTTCGCTATTATGAACGGGTGTTACGGGAGCTGTTACCTGATATTTTGCATATGTACTTCGCGATAACGCACGACTGTGCAAGCACTCTTCCCTCAGGAGTCACAATAAATGGCATCTCATCGAAGGGAGACCTGCCAGCTGAAACAGCAAAACAAGACTTATAAATTTATTACACTTTAAAATGTCAGCAGCAAGCCTACAGCTATTACTATAGGTACAAGATAATCAGAGACGCCACGAAACGCATACTGAGTAAAGTAAAGAGAGCAAAAATTAAGATGACTTAACTAACGATGTATATTTCATTCGTAAAGCGTGGCTGAGATCTGGGCTCCGGAGAGAAACAGAGGACGTGGTAGACCGAGGAAGACCTGGCGCAGAACCGCAGAGAAAGAAAGAACAACCTTTGGTTTTACGTCGTGGAA